AGGAAATATCTTAATGTTGTGTGTAAATGCAGAGGATTGTGGAAGAAAAGGGATTCGGAGAGCAAGAGTAGGACATGAAGCCAGAAAGGCAAAATGATGAAACTGTATGAAAAGTTCTGAAAATTTTTAATTTTATGTTTAGAAATAGACACAGATTTTTAGATAGGCAGGTGATGTGAATTACATGTGTGTTTTAGATTATTCTGTGAAGAGAATGAAAGAATTGAAGAGTGGCTTTTGCAAAAGTCTGAGAAGTGACAAAGCCCTCTGACCTTGGAGGTAGGCTGTGCACATGGTCAAAGGGTTGGATTTAGCTCTTTACTAGTGTAGTATCATTGCTATACTTTTGGATGAGAACTTTTTTTTTTTTTTAGAGGTTTTTAGCTATAGGGTGTGTGCGCTCGCCAGAAAGACAGAGACAGACAGAGAGACAGAAGCGAGAAATCCCCCCGATGGCAATTCCTTATCCTCCATTCTCCTCAGGATCTTGGGCATGCACGCACATGCGCCTGGCGTGAGTTTAAGGCACCGGATCCAGGACTCCAACCCCGGTCGACTACATGGGAATCCAGCGACATAGCCATTACGCTAACTGCTGGTCCCTGAATGAGAACTTTTAAAGGGATATTCTAGGTAAAGGGTTCCTTTTCTCATAAAAGAATCCATTAGAAAGTCTGAATAATATTGCCAGGTTACATATGTTAATAGTACCATAATGAATTATTCATTAGCATTTAAAAAAAATTAGAACCAGATCAGGTGCAGTTTTGAGGGGATACTTCCCAACCTAATGTTGATTTAGGTTATTGCAAGTGTTTTCCTTCCAGTTTACAGAAATGAAATATTTGAATTTGCCACTAGTTCATAGTAGCAAATATTGTTTGATAAGCTCAACTGTAGTTGGAAGTAGCTTGTGAAAGTATTGTATTTAGAAGGATTCTTATTGTTATGAGCTCTCTGGGTGTATTATTTATTAGTGATCCCTCCTGTGGCAAATTATTTAGTGGGTGATATATGTATGTACCAGGTATGTACTATTCCTAGACTAGTCCAACCTACTGTCTTTTTTTTTGTTTTTGTTTTTTTTAAGTAGTGTGTTAAATAGTTTATCTGAAAAGTTGAAAGTCATAGCTTAGAACCTATGCCGGGGCCGGTACCAGCAGTTAGCGTAATGGCTATGTCGCTGGACTCCCATGTAGCTGACTGCAGTTTGCATCCCGGACCTGGTGGCTTAAAACTCACGCCGGGCACGTGTGCGTGTGTGCCCAAGATCTTGAGAGGAGAGGAGAATGGAGGAGAAGGGATTGCAGTGTGGCCATCTCCCCTGGAGGGTGATTTCTCGCTTTCTCTCTGTCTCTCCTGTCTGGCGAGCGCATGTGCCCTATAGCAAAAACCTCTCCAAAAAAAATTAATTAATTAAAAAAAAAACATTAAAAAAAAGAGAACTTATGCCGAAAAACCTCTCCAAAAAAAATAAATTAATTAAAAAAAAACATTAAAAAAAAGAGAACTTATGCCGGGGCCAACAGGTGCTGTGGTGGTTGAGATGGTGGACTCTGAGATGGCCAATTGTGCTTTGAGTCGTGGACCTGGAGATTTCTTTCTCACTTTCCCTCTCTTTCTCTCTCTCTCGCTGGTTAAATAATTAAAAATTAATAATAATAAAATAAAATAAATAATAAAAAAACCCCTAGTGTTTAGGTGTTGCACCTCTGATGTTTTCCATTTTATCAAGATGACTGTATGCTACTAAAGAATTTCCAGTATTTAACAAGAAAAAAAAATATTTTTAAACAGTGCTGCTTAACTGTTTAGGCAAGAGTTTAACACACAACTCTAGTCGAGAATTGAGTTTCATTGTATTCATTCTGGCTTGAGAAATTTGTGTTACTACTGATAGGAAATAGTCACCTGTCTTATTCATCCTCACATGCCTTTTCTTTTTCCTTATTATCTCAATTTTGAGTTTTGGTAATTGGTTTTCTTTACATGAATTAAGGCTAAATTATGTAAAATCTTATTATTTATTTATTTATTTTTAGGTTTTTGCCATAGGGCACTTATGGTCCCTAGTAAGAGAGAGAGAGGGAAAAAGTGAGAAACCAACCCCCAGAATGGATGGCCTTACAGCAATCCCTTTTCTAGTCTTCTCTTGGAATTTGTGTGATTTTCTTTTTTTTTTTGGAGAGGTTTTTGCTATAGGGCGCGTGTGCTCGTCAGACAGACAGAGAGACAGAGGGACAGAAAGCGAGAAATCACCCCCCAGGGGGGATGGCCACGCCGCAATCCCTTCTCCTCCATTCTCCTCTCAGGATCTTGGGCACGCACGCACACGCGCCTGGTGTGAGTTAAAGCCACCAGGTCCGGGACTTGAACCGCGGTCGACTACGTGGGAGTCCAGTGACATAGCCATTATGCTAACTGCTGGTCCCAAAATATGTGTGATTTTCAATCTACTGGGCCTGGAACTGGAACCTTAGTTGGCTGTGTGTGAGTCTAAAACCTAACCACTTGCTTGGCTCTCTCTCTTTCTTTCTTTCTTTTTTTTTTTCCTTTTCTTTCTATTTTTATAGTGTTAAGCCAAATTCTGGACTTAGAAGCACTCAGTAAAGACCTGTCGATGGACCAGCAGTTAGCATAATGGCTATGTCGCTGGACTCCCATGTTGTCGACTGCGGTTCGCATCCCGGACCCAGTGGCTTAAAAACTCATGCCGGACGCGTGTGCGTGCGTGCCCAAGATCCTGAGAGGAAAATGGAGGAGAAGGGATTGTGGCGTGGCCATCCCCCCGGGGGGGGTGATTTCTTGCTTTCTATCTCTCTGTCTCTGTCTGGTGAGCGCATGCGCCTAAAACAAAACCTCCCCAAAAAAAAAAAAAAAGACATGCTGATTTTGTGGCTGTAAATGATATTGGTCAATATAAATTAGCAAGGAGGTTCACAGAATTGCAGCATTCTCTGGTTGGAAGGTTGGCTCTCATTTAAAAAGGTTAGGTTGGAAAGTATCCCTATAATGAGAAATATAACCTGAAGCAATTTCTGCCTCTATCCTCCTCCAGTCTAGCAGTGCACTGTCCTTGGAAAACTGCTGCCAGCTCAGTTCTTTTCCTTCTTTTCAGAACTGACTATATCCAGATCCTGGGAGTGCTTTTTCTTTCTCTTTCTCTAGAAGCCTTCAAGTTGCAGGGACTGCCCTTGAGGTAACCCTTATAGGCAGAGTATATGTTGATATGGCCATCCTCAATTTGCCAGATGGCTGTTATACTCAGGCGAGTATTACCCCATATTACATATGAGCCATTTCCCTCCTAACTTGCCCCCTTATCCTGTTTGCCCCATCAAAAATTAGCCAGTGAAATTTTTTTAAAGACTTTATATGTCAAATACCTAAGGTCATTGTACATCTGATGTGTTTAGTCATAGGAGTAATGTGTTAATGGACTTCCCTTCCTCTTTCAGGTAACATGCATTTCACAGTGGCCTTCTGGAGACAACGCCTTAACCCTAAGAAGTGACTCAAATAGTGAGAACTTCAGGTATGGTGACATTCCTGTGAGATAAATTTGGGGGCTGGAATGGTGCAGAAGGCTAGACTTGGTCATCTGAGCACTGTGAGGAGAGAGGAGTGTTGATGCTGACTCCATCAGTTGATTGACTTGGATATGAAATCCAAAGCCTCCTCTCGAAGGATTAGCCTATGAGCTACACTGTCCATTTAATTTAGGTCCTCTGACTTTTCTGTTTTTATAACTCCCTTACACACACATAAGATTTCCACTTGTGCCGTTTCATGAACATTTATCTCTTTACCTGTCCAGACATATGTATATGTGTGGTTAAGTGGAGGAATTAAAAAGACAACATTTGGTAAAGTAAAAAAAAAATAGAGGACTTGAAAAGAGAAGATCTGGTTTCTGATTTGATTTTGTAACTGACAAGCTGTGTGACTTTTGGCAAGTTACTTAATTTTGCCAAGACTCATTTGAGTTATCTGTAAAATAAATGTATTGATTCCTGCCTACTTCCTTGGCATTGTTGTGAGGAGCAAATAAATTAATGCATATTAAGTCTTTAGAAAAGAAAATGACTTTACAGCTTAAGACAGAAGTAAGATCAAGATGGGAGAAAATGGCAAAAATGTTGTGAAGGAAAACATGAGGACAAGAAGACATTCCTTTTAAAAGGTCAGGGGAAGGACCAGCAGGTGGCCTGGTGGTTCAGGCACTGGATGACACCCTCATGGCTAACCCCAGTTTGAGTCCCAGACCCATCAGCATGCAAATCACTCTGGGCATGTGCAGGTTTATGTGTGTACCCAAAATCCCAAGAGAATAGAGGAGAAGGGATTGAGGTGTGGCTATCTCCCCTGGTGGGTGATTTCTTATTTTCCTCTCTCTGGGAAGTGCATATGTCCCATAGGAAAAAACCTAAAAAATAAAATAAAAAGGGGGAGGTAGGGACCAGCGTAATGGCTATGTCACTGGACTCCTAGGTAGTCGACCGCAGTTCAAGTCCTGGACCCGGTGGCTTAAACTCACGCTGGGCGCGTGTGCGTGCGTGCCTAAGATCCCAAGAGGAGAATGGAGGAGAAGGGATTGCGGCATGGCCATCTCCCCTGGGGGGTGATTTCTCGCTTTCTATCTCTCTGTCTCTCTCTGTTTTTCTGGTGAGCGCACGTGCCCTATACCGAAAACCTCTCAAAAAAGAAAAAAAAAGGGAGAGGTATGGGAGAGAAAAGGAAGACTGTAGGATAAGGAAAAGTAAAGCTTAAATTCATGCAGTAAGAGAATAGGGAGTGACGAAGTAGAGCATAGAACTGCTAGGTTAGTGGAATAGGAAGAGAGTGGCCAAATAGAACTACCATATGATCCAGCAATGCCACTTCTGGGTATATAGCCAAAACAAAAAAAATCATTGTTATATCTTAAATACCTACCTACACTCCCATGTTGGTTGGAGCTTTGTACACAAAAGCCAGGATAGTAAAATAGTCTTAACTGGTATATATGTTTAATGGAATATTACTCGGCCTTTAAAAAAACAAATTGGGACCAGTTAGCATAATGGCTATGTCCCTGGACTCCCATGTAGTTGACCACGGTTCGAGTCCCAGACCCGGTGGCTTAAACTCATGCTGGGTGCGTTTGCGTGTGTGCCCAAGATCCCGAGAGGAGAATGGAGAAGGGATTGCAGTGTGGCTATCCCCCCTGGGGGATGATTTCTTGCTTTCTGTCTCTCTGTCTTTCTGGTGAGTGCACATGCCCATAGCAAAAACCTCTCCAAAAAAAAAAGGAAATTGTGTTAGTTTCAATAACTTAAAGAGTACAGTGATGGATATGTTAATTAGCTTGATTATGTCATATTTCATATTGTCTGTGTATATCAAAATATGTTGTATTTCTTGAATATATACATTAAACAGTTTATTTCATGAGAGACGGAGATAGGTACTCTTGGCAGGATCTTACCACAGCCAGCCAGCCAACCAGTCAGCCAAACAGTATTGCACAGTGTGTATTCAGATTCACCTGGGATCTAAATGCAGGCCTCCCTTATGGCTACAGACATCCCCCCACACCTGTACCTGTATAGCTGGGCCCAATTTTTATATGTCAGTTATACTTCAGTAAAGCCGGAAAAAAAGAAACTTAAAAGGAAGAGAGTAATCTCTCACTTGCCTAGCCCTGATCTTGAGACTTAGTTGTAATTGTCATTACCACTTCCCTCACACAAATGTCCCATTCACACTTAGGTTCTTGTCTCTGCTGTAAACATTAATGTTTATTATTCATTCACTTGTGCAACCTTTGTGTTAAGTTTGTACTGTTGTTAACTAATTGCCTTATAAACAGTTGAGGCCAAGGCTGTTAATTTGCACATTGTGTCTTGTTGGTTATAATCAAATGTGTGCTTAACCTGTTTTTTTGATAATTACAGTGAGAAGGAAGGTGGTAGTGGGATGATTTCTGAGAGATACTATTGATAGAGAGGAAGTGGATAAGAGGGAAAGTAGATGAATGAGATGGTAAGAAATCTCAGAAGACAACAGGAGAGGGAACCAGCAGTTAGCGTAATGGCTATGTCGCTGGACTCCCATAGTCGACCACAGTTCGAGTCCCGGACCCGGTGGCTTAAAACTCACGCTGGGCGCGTGTGCGTGCGTGCCCAAGATCCCGAGAGGAGAATGGAGGAGAACGGATTGCGGCGTGACCATCCCCCCTGAGGGGTGATTTCTCGCTCTCTGTCTCTCTGTCTCTCTCTGTCTGTCTGGCGAGCGCACACACCCTATAGCGAAAACCTGTCCAAAAAAAAAAGAAAGACAACAGGAGAGACATGACAATGAGAAATATGTAGAACAAAAGACGTGAAGGAGGTGGTAATATTTGTAATAAAGGAACCTAGGCATCTTTCATTTCTTTAATGATGATAGAATACCTCACAAAAGTTAAGTGCTGGAAAAGATAATATCCTCTATGTCAGATATTTAAAAAATATTTTTCAAAGTATCCTTTTCATCTTGAGCTCACAGAGCAGTTCTTTGTGGAAAAATACCTGGGCCAACATCTTAAAACACCTAGGATCTAGGTTGGATGTAGATTGTCCCTTAAATTCTGTGATTTGGGGCAATTCACTTAAATCTCTTTGGGCCTTATTTCTTTACTTGTGTATTGAATGTTTTGAATATTCTATGATTATATTTTCTGCTTCATGTGCTGACTCACTAATTTTTGTTGATTTCACAATATAGGACTGGTAACAAATTTCTCATAGTAAGACTTCCTTTTTTATTTTTTTTCGGAGATTTTTGCTAAAGGTGCTTGTACTCACCAGAGAGACAGAGAAAGCCAAGAGACAGAGAGACAGAGAGCGAGAAATCACCCCCAGGAGGATGGTCATGCCTCAATCCCTTCTCCTCCATGCTCCTCTTGGGATTTTGGGCACATATGCACATGTACCCAGCATAAGTTTAAGCTACCAGGTCTGGGACTTCAACTGCAGTTGACTACTACTGCGGAAGTCTAGTGATGTAACCATTACTCCATCTGGTGATCCCTTTCATAGTAAGACTTCCTAATAGCCAGTACTTTATAAATGAGAAACCATGTTATTTTAAGTTCTACTTTAAACATTGGCACAGAGACATGTAGGAAACCTAAGTATAAAGATGTTAAGCTTGTATATTCAATAAGCATTTATTGAGCCACTGTTGTGCTAGGTCCCAAGGGATACTCAGATATACACTGCTACTTCAAGGACTTTGTGTTTTTTGTTTTAGTCATTTTTTCCATAGGGTGAGAGACAGAGAGGAAAGTGAGAAATCATACCCTGGGGGATGACCATGCCACAATACCCTCTCTTCTATTTTCCTCTTGGGATTCTGGGCACATATGCACCCACACACAGCATATTTCTCAAGCTGTCAGGTTGGGACTCAAGCAGCAGAGTCAGTTATATGGGATCCAACTGCCTTAACCACTACACCATCTGCTGGCCCTGACTTTTTTTTTTAATCAGGGAAGCAAACTTGCTCACCAGTGATTATTGTGAAAAGCAAAATGTTAAATGCTATAATAAGGACTGTATTACATTGCAATTTAAGATACTACATTCAGGGGCCAGCAGGTAGAGTGGTGGGTAAGGGGCTAGACTCCCATGTGGCTGACCTTGATTTGAGTCCTGCATCTGGCAGCTTGCTTGCTCACTTTCTCTCACGTTCTCGCTCTCACTTTGTCCCTCTCTGGTCAAATTAAAATAAATAAATAGATTTTTTTTTTTTTTTGGAGAGATTTTCGCTATAGGGCACGTGCGCTCGCCAGACAGAGAGAGAGAGAGAAAGTGAGAAAGCAGGCCGCCAGGTCCAGGACTTGAACCATGGTCTGCCATGCGGGAGTCTAGTACCCTTAACCACCATGCCACCTGCCGGCCCCAATAAATAATTCTTAGAAAAAAGGTACTTACCTTCAGATTTCTTTTCTTTTTTTTTTTTTTTTTGGAGAGATTTTCGCTATAGGGCACGTGCGCTCGCCAGACAGAGAGACATTAGAGACAGAAAGCGAGAAATCACCCCCCAGGGGGGATGGTCACAGCGCAATCCCTTCTCCTCCATTCTCCTCTCGGGATCTTGGGCACGCACGCACACGTGCCCGGCGTGAGTTTTAAGCCACCGGGTCCGGGACGTGAACCGCGGTCAACTACGTGGGAGTCCAGCGACATAGCCATTATGCTAACTGCTGGTTCCCAGATTTCTTGATTTCTTTAACATAATTGAATATATCCTAAGTGCTTCTCTGTACTAGGCATTGCAGGGACTCATGACAAAAAGGCAGTCTTTGCTATCACGATACTCAGTTTTTTTTTTTCTCATATATCCTTCTACCCCAGGAAAGAGAAGAATTTTTGTACTATAGTATACAAATACATAGGATAAGAATGCTTCTGCATATTGAGCTTATCTCACTCTAGAAATTTACTTGATGAGAAAATGCATACTATTTTACTGGATACTACAACCTTTTCTTTGGCAGAGACAGAGAACACTTTTTTTTTCTTTTTTTTTTTTTTTTTGGAGAGGTTTTTGCTATAGGTCATGTGCACCCTCCAGAAAGATAGAGACAGACAGAGAGACAGAAATCCCAGGGGGATGGCAATTGCCACACTGCAATCCCTTCCCCTCCGCTTTCTTTTTCGGATCTTGGGCTCACACACACCTGGCATAATTTCTTTCTTTTTTTTTTTTTTTTAAATAATTATTTATTTAATTTTATTTATTCATTCATTTATTTTAATTAGACCAGAGAGAGAGAGAGGGAAAGTGAGAAAGCAAGCCACCAGGTCCAGTACTCGAACCACAGTCGGCCATGTGGGAGTGCCCGGTGCCTTAACCACCATGCCACCTGCTGATCCCCCACACCTGGCATAATTTCTAAGTCACTGGGTACAGAGCTCGAATCATACCGTTGGCCATGTGGGATCTGATGCCTTAACCTCCGAGCTACCTGCTGACCCTGGGAGAGAATACTATTTTATTTTTTATTTTATTTTATTTTTTCGAACTTGCTATAGGGTACCTAACACTCACCAGAGAAAGACAGAAAACACTCTCTAGTGGAAATAGTCTTGCTGCAATCCCTTCTCCATTCTCCTCTTGGGATATGGGGCACGTACACACATGCATCTGGGGTGTTTTTCAAGCTGCGAGGTCCAACTGCACTTTCAGCCATATGGGATCCATCCAGCCACCACATCACCTGGCTAGCCTTCACTTCTTTTATTTTTTAAAAGAATTCATTGACATTTGCCAGAGGGTACGTGAACTTGCCAGAGAGAATGAGAGAGGCAGAGAGAGAGGGAGAAAGCTCCAATGGTTCACGGTCACGTCACAATCCCTTCTCTTTCTTTTTGTCATTCTGTCAGGATTTTGGTCAGGCATACATGCATGTGACCCAGTGTGTTTCTTAACCTCTGGGACTTGAATTTGAATCACATGGTCAGCCATGTAGTGTCCAGCAAGTTCTTTAACCATCAGGCCATGGAGCCGGCCCAGAAAATACTTTTATTTTTTAAAATTTTACCAGAGGGATTACCAGTTAGTGTAATGGCTATGTCGTCGTACTCCCACGTAGTCGACCACAGTTCGAGTTCCGGACCCGGCGGCTTAAATTCACGCTGGGAGTGTGTGCATGCGTGCCCAAGATCCTGAGAGGAAAATGGAGGAGAAGGGATTGCGGCGTGGCCATCCCCTCTGGGGGGTGATTTCTCGCTTTCTCTCTTTGTCTCTGTCTGTCTGGTGAGCGCATGCACCCTATAGCAAAAACCTCTCCAAAAAAAAAAAAAAATTTTACCAGAGGGTGGGTGTACCCGCTGGAGAGAGTTGGGAAAGAGGGTAAGGGTGGTGGCAATGGTGAGAAAGCACCCCACAGTGAGGTGTGGTAATGTCACATCTATTCTCTCCATTGGGATTTTGGCAATGTACACATGCATGCCCGGTATGTTTTTGCAGCTGCTGGATCTGGAATTTAAACCTCACCATCAACCATGTGGGTTCCAACACCCTTTATCACTAGGCCATGGGACTAGCCCAACTTGGTTAACTTCTTCGTACCTTAGTTTTTTCATCTATAAACTGGGAATAGTAGTAGCGTATGTCCATAAGGATAATTATTTCTGCCTGAACAAGACTGGGCTTGCAGTAAGCAAAACGTTTGTTGTTATTGTTATCATCATCATTATCGCCAACCTTGTCTTTCCTAAAATTATCATCTAAGTTCATGAATTCATTCTGTGAGCTTATCTATGGTGAGCATTATAAATTCAAATGCCTGCAAGGGCTAAGTCAACATTTAAGTCAGTAATGATAGATCAGATTGGGACTTAAAAGTAAGCTAGAGAATTCATGTCCCACCAATCCACCAATTCCTCCAAGCAGGCAACTGTTTAAGCAGCTTTGGTTTCCTGTTTTTTTTTTTTTTTTTTTTTTTTTTTAAATCATTATTTTTTTTTTTTTATCCACCTACCCATCCCCTCCAAGCAGGCAACTGTTTAAGCAGCTTTGGTTTCCTGTTTTTTTTTTTTTTTTTAAATCATTATATTTTTTTATCTATCTATCTACCCATCCATTCATCCATCACTCAAACTATGGTCAAGGCATGTAAGAGTTCATCGCCCTTAACCATCACGCCACCTGTTGGCCCGTTTTTGTTTTTTTTTCCCCCAGGGAGACCGAGAGAACACTCCTCATAGAATGTGTTCACACTGCAAGCCACTTCTCTATTCTGTCAGGATACTGGACATTCATTCACAGGTGCTTGGTGTGTTTTTCAAGGTGCCTGGGCCAGAATTGGAGCTGTAGTCGACCATGTGGGATCTGACCTTGTAGGATCTGTGGTCTATGCACAGCACCTTAACCGTTGGGCTGGTTCCCCCTCCCCCTTTTAATTGAAGTAAAATTTGGTTGGACCTCAAAAAGCATGTGAGGTTATGTGTGTGTGATTTAGCTATTCCACTGTATATATATATACACACACACACACACATATTTCAAAATATGCTCTACAGGGAACCAGCAGTTAGCGTAATGGCTATGTCGCTGGACTCCCATGTCATCGACCGCGGTTCGTGTCCCGGGCCCGGTGGCTTAAAACTCACACCGGGCGCGTGTGCGTGCATGCCCAAGATCCCGAGAGGAGAATGGGGGAGAAGGGATTGCAGCGTGACCATCCCCCCTGGGGGGTGATTTCTCGCTTTCTGTCTCTCTGTTTCTCTCTGTCTGTCTGGCGAGCGCACGCGCCCTATAGCGAAAACCTCTCCAAAAATATGCTCTACATACATGAATAACATATATCCTTTTTTTTTAGTCAACTAAAAATAAATTTATTATTTAAGGTCTTGGGGGATACACTCACCAAGTATTAGTAATTGAAAATAAAAGTTTTGGGGACCAGCAAATGGCATAATGGTTATGTTGCTGGACTCCCATGTAGTTGATTGCAGTTCAAGTCCTAGACCCAGCGGCCTAAAATCTCACTCCAAGTGTGTGTGTGTACATGCTCACGATCCTGACAGAAGAGTGGAGGAGATGGTATTGCAGCGTGGCCATACCCCCCGGGGATAATTTCTCACTTCTATCTCTCTGATGAATGTACCTGCCCTATAATAAAAATCCCTCTTAAAAACAACAACAACAACAAAAAAGACCAGCAGGTAGCATGGTGGTTAAGGACACTGGATTCCCACATGGCTGACAGCAGTTTGAGTCCCGGACCTGGTGGCATCCTCTCTCTCTCTCTCTTCCTCGCTTATTCTGTCACTCTCTGGTCAAATTAAAAATAAAGTTAAATATAATAATTTAGAGAAAACTGGAAATTAAAAAAAAAAAAAAAGCAGAGAGACTTTAAAAGGTAAAAAAATATATATAAATTGAGGGCCAACAAGTGGCATCATAGTGATAAAGGTACTAGACTATCTCATGACTGACCGTGGTTCCTGGCTTGGACCTGGTGGCTTGCTTTCTCACTTTTCCTTTCTTTCTCTTGCTGTCTCTTAACTGGTGAGTGCACATGCCCTATAGTAGAGTAAAAAATAATAATAAATGAAATTAAATAAATGTAAAATATAAATTGAAGTAAAATCCATGTAACAAAGATTGCTATTTTAAAGTATACAATTCATTTATTAGCTCACTATTTAACTGGGGATTTCAGACTGAGTGAGGCCTAAACATCTTAATTTGTTTTCTTATAAAGAGAAGCTGGAAATCCACATTTTGTAAGGAACCTTTATTTTTAAATGTTGGCAGCTTATGAATTCATAGTATAAACACTGTGGGCCAAACAAATCACCACTGCGGGCAGAATTTGTCTTGTGGGTTGCCGCTTTGCAACCTCTGATCTGGGCCTTGACTTTCTGCAGCATAACCCATGTTCTCTGTATTCTGGGTAGAAAGTCCTTACCCACATCAAGATTTAAAACAATTCAAGAGCAATACCTCAAAGCAGTCTGGTGCTGAATGAGGGCTATGAGGGGTAATTATTAAAGAAGCTAGAAGGAGAGAAGTTACAATGTGACAGGGATTCAGAATGCACAGAAGTACAGAGGCAGGAATGAAATTGAGGTGGTGGTAGTACAGTGAATATAGAATAGTTAGAGTTTAGTTTAAGAGGGTTTGTGGGGGCCTAGTAAGAGGAGAAATTTGGAAAAGTTAAAAAGAGACCAGCCTCTTACTTTGGAATGACCTTGAGACCTATTGACTGATAGGATGAAATGGTATTTTATAAATATTTATTTGGCAGTATTTTTGTTTTATTTCTTTGTTTTGGCAGAGGATGTGTGCACTGGCTAGGTAGCAAGGGGGAGAATGCACTCCCCAAGTGGAGCATGGTCACTCTGCAATCCTTTCTCCTCCAGCTCTTCATCCTGTTGGGATTTGGGGTGTACATGTACCTGATGTGTCTTTTAAGCCGCTGGAGGCTGGGATTCGAGCCTCTTGGTTTATTTGTGTGTGCAGGTACTAGACTAGGCTAAGGAGATGGGAATGAAAAGAAAGGAACAACAAAAGCTTGTATAAGAGACAAAGGCTTGCAGTAAAGAGGGCCAGTTTGAAAACTTTTTTTCCTTTTCACTACTTTGTGAAAACTGGGATTTGTGAAGATAGCACTATGTATGGGCTATCCCTCTTTTTATGTTGTGGATCTTCTTTACTCAGCCCCAGCACTCCTTAAAGATGGCTTACTTTCATGTATATGTATGTGTGTATATATATAAAATATATATAATGCTTGAAGGCACTTGTGCTTGCTAGAGAGAGGTCACCCCCCCTTCTCTCTCTGTCTCTCTGTGGTAAAATGATAAATAAATGATAACAAATGAAATTGGGACTAACAGGTGATGTGGTGGTTAAGGGTGCTGAACTCCCACATGGCCCACCATGGTTCAAGTCCTGGACCTGGCAGCTTGCTTTCTCATTTTCTCTCTCTCTCTGGTAAAATTTAAATAAGTAAATAAGTAAAGTTAAAAATAAAATAATTCTTTGAAAAAACAAATAAAATTAAGTAAAATAAGTCTTTAAAAAACATTCTAACAAGTAAGCCAAATAATGTATTAGATAAAATCAATTGTTAGGAATATCTGAGCTCTAGCAATATTTTTCTTTTTTTTTTCTTCTTTCTTTTTTTGGAGAGGTTTTTGCTATAGGGCGTGTGCGCTCACCAGACAGAGAGACAGAAAGCGAGAAATCACCCCCCAAGGGGGATGGCCATGCTGCAGTCCCTTCTCCATTCTCCTCTCGGGATCTTAGGCATGCACACACACGTGCCCAGCGTGAGTTTAAGCCACTGAGTCCTGGACTTGAACTGCAGTCGACTACATGGGAGTCCAGTGACATAGCCATTAAGCTAACTGCTGGTCCCTCTAGCAATATTTTTCGTGTGGATAAGTAAGACTATTGAATTGAACCTTTAAAAAATTACACGTGAGACCAGCAGATGGCATAATGGTTATGTTGCTGGACTCTCACATAGTTGACGGCAGGTTGAATCCTGAACCTGGCAACTTAAAACTCACACCAGGTGCATGTACATGTGTGCTCGAAATCCTGAGAGGAGAATGGAGGAGAAAGGATTGCAGCATGGCCATCTCCCATGAGGAGTGATTTCTTGCTTGCTTTCTGTCTCTCTTTCTCTGGCTTGTGCATGCACCCTATCGTAAAAATCTCTCTCTCAAAAAAATATTAACACAAAAGTTGCTGCTCTGGTAGAGGTGTAGCAATAGAGTCAAATGAGTGATCATCTAAATGTCATTTAATGAAGAAGTGCATTTATTTTCAAAGTGTGGTTTATCCTTGTTTTTAGAGTTGATTTAAAATTAAAAGGGATTACTTTAAGGTAGTTCATTTAATTATAGTTTTGCTTTGGAAGTAGTAAGGAAAGGAATTGAACATGGGAGAGGGATTAGCTGCATTTGCTTCTGTGAAAAGTCACCAGTAAAAGGGAAATCCCATATTATTTTTTTTTCTGTTATGAGTCTTTGGAGGAAAGATATGAGCAGAAAAAGTTGGTGGAAAATGGAATTTATTATTTATTATTATGTTGGTATAAAAAATTTGAAATTTGTCCTCAGTTTTTTTCATAATATGCATTTTACGTGATTTAAGAAAAAATTTTTTTAGAATTATTTAATTTTGTTCACTATTATTATTTAATTTGACCTGAGAGAGGGAAAGTGAGAAAGCAAACTGCCAGGTCTAGGACTGATACCATGTTTGACCATGTGGGAGTCCAGTGAAACTTTAACCAGTATACCACCTGACAGCCCTGATTTCTATTCTTTCTTTCTTTTTTTTTTTTTTTTTTTTAAGATTTTTGCCATAGGGTGCGTTTGCTCGCTTGGGAGAGACATAAAAAGTAAAAGTGAGAAATCACCCCCCAGGGGAGATGGTCACGCTGCATTTTCTTCTCGGGATTTTGGATGCATGCACATAAAACCCACCATGATTTTCAAGCCACCAGGTCTGGAACTCAAATTGTGGTCAGCCATGTGGGAGCTCAGTGCTTTAACCATCACTCCTGCTGGCTCCCAAAAGTAGTAAATTTAAAAAGTTACAAATGTCCTCCTCACATTAAATAAATAAATAAATAAATTAAATGTGATTTATACTGTTTTTAAAGACCCCGCCCCCAGGGATGGCTGCTGCAGTCCCCTCTCCTCCATTCTCTTCAGATTTTGGACACGCACACACATGCTCAGTGTTTTTCTTTCTTTCTTTCAGTTTTTGCTATAGAGCACTTGCGCTTGCCAGAGAGAGAAAGTGAGAAATCATCCCCACCTCCCAGCAGGGATGGCTGCCACAGTCCCCTTTTCTCCATCCTCCTTTTGGGATTGTGGGTACACAGGCACATGTGCCCAGCGTATTTTCCAAGCTGCCAGGTTCTGGACTCAAGTAGCGCACTTGGCCATGTGAGATCCAGCTGCCTTAACCATCATGTCACCTGACTGGCCCATTGTGCTTGGGGTTCTCAAACCATGGAGCATTAAGAGTCCGACTGCAGTTGGCCATGAGGAATCCAGCTACTTTAACAACCACACCACCATCTGGCCCTGTAGGTCTTAATTAAAATTCTGTATATATTTGAAATGTGCAGAATCTGGTTGCTACTGCTTTTCATTTTCCATAATGTTTCTGATGACATATATTTGCTGTCATCTCTTCTTCCTTTGTTTTTGTCCTCAGAGGCTTTTTATATTCCTTTCTTTAATTTTCCTGGGCTTTTGGGTGGGAATGGAGTATTTTCAGTCTGCCCTGTTAGTTGATTTTACTATATGAATGATATTTTCCTCTCTAAGGGACAAAGAAAATTATGAAGATATCTATCCCAATTATTATTTATTGTGGCAAAACAGACATAACAAATTATGTTTTTTTTTTTTTTCTTGAATACCAGTCTGTAATTTTTAATTAGAATCAGCTATCAGACATTGCACCTTTTAAGTGTATGACTAGCTTAACAATGTTTAACAGTGGCTTGGAAGTATTCAACGTTAAACTCAGTTTAGTTCACATTAATGTTCGCAAATACATTATTGGTAATTACTAAATATTTCAAATCAACCAACTTGAAGTACATAAAGCTGGCTCTCAAATGACTATACTGAAATGACATCAAGACTGAAAGAAGCCTATGCTTTAAGTCCAAGTCTCTAACCAGCAATCACTATTCTCACTGGTAAACTCATGCGAGGGAACTTCAAGGTTGAGAGGCACAGGCCCTTTCCTGATCCTGCCAGATACATCATAGTGTGATCCATGACAAGGGCAGTAATAACCACCAAATCTCCTGCATTTGCAATGGGTACACAACCAAGATGAGTGCAGACACTTACTAGGATAACCCTTTCAGGTTTCTTTACATGTTCTGTATCATACTGTGGATCCCTCAACTGGGACACTTTTACTGCAGCTTCCTATTCAATTTCCTTCTTGGTTCTATGGTGCACAAACAGGGGTTTGCCTCTCCCTTTGAATGCCATGTTTTTGCCTTCTGGAATATTGGACAACTTGATTTTGATCTTCAGCATGGCCAATGCATCAGCAGAAGCGCTCAGGCTGGAAACAAACTGGGAGACAACATACTTGGCAGCATATGTGACACCCACAGTAGTTGCTGCAGTTACCAAATAGGAAAAACCTCTTCTGGCCTCGCTGCTTTCTTTTGAAGACTTTGTACCATCTAAAACTTAAGTGCGCTAGTCAGAGAAGTCAGGCACTTTGATGTCTGTATGGGAATAACGAACAGGAGCAGGGCCCTTGGGGCCTATGGAGACGACCAAAGCTTGACCCACAGCCTGTCCACTCGGCGACTCCCAGCACAGGAAGGCCCCCTTCACATTCTGAACAGGCAGCTCCGGAGAGGCAGGCGCCGTGGCTGCACCAGGGCCGGCAGCGCGCCTGTCAGACGTGGCAGACAGGACAGGTGCTAATGGGCCAGAGTGGATGGCAACTGACAATATGGCGACAACTGTTCTAATTGCCAAGCGGGTCACAGGAACTTTTTTTTTTTAATAAAGGTTTTTTTTTTTTTTTTTGCCTTAGGGTGTGTGTGCTCGCCTGAATAGAGAGAGACAGACAGTGAGAGGGAAAGTGAGAAGTCACCCCCTGGGGAGATGGCCACACTGCAATCCCCTCTCCTCCAGGGATCTTGGGCACACATGCATGCACAAGCACTGGACATGTTTGAAACCAGGAGGTCCAGGACTCAAATCAGTCAGCCATGTGGGAGTCCAGCGATGTAACTGCCATGCCATCTGCTGGCCCCCAAATTTACTGTTTTAAGAACTTTTAAGTTTTCAGTTCAGTGAAATTATCACTTCTTCATTGTATATCCATTACTGTTCTCTCTCCCCAGAACTTTTATCATCTCAAACTGGAGCTCTGTACCCACTAAAAAATAACATTCCTAACGAGAGTTATGTTAAGCAACTTTTATGCTTATTTAACCATTTGTGTATCTTTAGGGAAATATCTATCCAGTCTTTCACAGACTTAAATTTTTTTCTTTGTATTCATGATAGAGCACATATGTATGCACATGAGAGTTTGAGAGAAAGAGAGATGAGCATCAGCCATGAGTTCTGGTCCTGTTGTGATCTTCTTCCTTTAATCTTCCAGTTGTTAGGCCGAGTTAGCATAATCACCGCCATGTTAGGGAATGCTGGGGAAGTTAGCTTAATCACTACCCTGTTGAGTCTTCAGGGACGGAGCCCACTTTGTTAGGGCCTCAAGGACGGGAACCAGGAGTCTGGGAACTCTCAGATAAGTGGAAAACGGGAGGGCCCAGCACCTCCGAGGCAAGGTCATCCAAATCCTTAGCTGAGAGCCCTTATCTAGACCTAAGCAGGTGGTGAAAGCTGGACCCTCGCGTCTCATACCCCCCTTCCTTTGTGTGTTACAGTCTAGAAAACATCCTAAACTATAAAAAATCCCTTTACCTTAGGCTCGGGGTCCTTGTGAAGGCCCGCTGCAACGGGCTGAAACTTGGACCCCAGCTAGCTGGAAAAATAAAAGCCTCTTTTGCAGTTGCATTGTCGCTGTCTTTTCTGTGTCTCCATCAGTTAAACCGATCTCTAGACCCTTACACAGTCTGTTGCGTCTTAGGCACTTGTGCTGGTGACAGGCTTGTTCCAGCTGAGCAGACTGTTATTTGAACTGCAGTCACCAGTGGTTTCTGGCTTCTTTTGTGCAGTGCCTTACTTCCATGCTATGAAGCTAGTCCCCTTTGCAGATATTTCTCAATTGGGTTGTTTTGTAGGCTGCTGCCTGTATTTTTCCTGCTTCTTTTATTCCTCTTCCTTTCCTGTTGACAAAGCAACTAGAAACATTTTATCTAGTATATGGTTCCTCAGTAAATTTTTTGTGGTAGAATGTTTAAAGTAATGCTTTCTATAAAGGGGAAGGTAGATTGAGAGCAGGACCTCCATTCATTTGTATCTAATTTGTATTTCTCTATTTCCTTTAACCACTTACCCACTTGGGTAAACATTTATATGAATGATTAAGCTTTTATGCAAATAAGCTTTGTGTCATTTAAATTCCATTTTAGATAAGGAAAATGTAGATCTTGTTGAAAGAAATATGATTCTTCTCTTAGAGGACCTGCTGTTTGCCTAAGAAAATACTAGTCAGCCTGAGATCCTCAGACAAGGATTTTCCCCTTTGTAATCCTAAAGGGGAAAAATAACGGTCTTAATCATTTCATTGATTTACCTCTTAACTAGATTTCATTGTGTGATGATTTGGAATTTCTTATTTTAGACTGTGTTGTTTTTGAGGGTGTGTGTGTGTATGTGTGTGTGTGTGTGTGTGTGTGTGTGTGTGTGTGTGTGTGTGTGTGTGTGTGTGTGTGTGTGTGTGTGTGTGTGTGTGTGTGTGTGTGTGTGTGTGTGTGTGTGTGTGTGTGTGTGTGTGTGTGTGTGTGCGTGTGTGTGTTTGTCAAGCAAGAAGTTGGGATTGAACCTAGTCACAATATGTATTTTAGTAATTATGAAAAGGACCAAACTGAATAGGTTCAAGTACAGTAGTCACATAAGTGTTTTTTGTGTGTTTGCTTCCTTCTTACCTTTTCAATTCCTTTAGGGAAACTCTAGCACTGATTAGTCAATCAGAGCCAGATTGTTGTTTGTGTAATGGTTAATTCTGAAAGATGAAGAATTAGAAGTTCCTAATTATTTTTTATTGTGAGAAAGATGTTTGAGAGAATGGGGGAAGAAATTTCCTCTTAGAATCTTGGGTACATCCCTTCCAACTCTTTCCTTATTGCCAGAAGGATGACTGTCTCTTGGAATTCTGAGTACAGAGTTCAAACCAGCCCAGTGAATGCCAAAAATTAGATCTTTGTGTCAATTTTCTTTTTTTTTTTTTAAGAATTATTTAATTTTATTTATTATTATTTTTAATTTGCTATAGGGTATGTATACTTGCCAGAGAGAGACATAAAGAGAGAGAAAGAGACAAAGCAAGCCACCAAGTCTGGGACTCCAGCTGTGGTCAGCCTTGTGGGAGTCTAGCACCTTAACCATCTTGCTACCTGCTGGCTCCTGGGCCACTTTTCTTAAACTCTGTTTTTATACTGTTGAACCTTAAAGATGATCAGTTTTTCATGCATATGCCTTTAGAATCCATTCTCATATATTGGGTTGTCAGAAAAGTCATGACGCATTTTTGCAGCAGATAGCACTAGTTCATTTTTGGAAGTAGTAGAGTCATTTGTATCTATGTTATTGCCATATGATTTGACAACTGACAGTTTTAGCTTCTTCTTCTAAAAAAAAAAAGTGATTTGGTTGAGTTTGGGAGATTTTACAAGTTGAAGATGGAAGACCAAATTGCATTTTCACCATATTCTACTGTTGTACTTTTGTAAAAGGAAGAATGTGCCTTAAGCTTATAAAAAGTTGTGTGAAGTTTACCGTGACCGTGCTCTACAAGAACATCAGTGCTAACGATGGTTCACAAAATTCTGTGCTGGTGATTTTGATCTGAGCAACTTCAGTCAAGGAGGCCCACCAAAGTTGATGACAAAAAGATAATGGCTTTGATCAAGTCAAACCCACATTACATGACATAGGAGATTGCAGAATATTGAATATCCGTCATTCAAGTGTTCATGATCTCCTGAAGGAGCTGGGATACATAAGCAAGCTCAATATTTGAATTCCTCATGAACTCAAAGTTCATTTGATGGTGTGTATAAACATTTGTAATATGCTCATTAAACATGAGGAAAAGGATCCTTTTTTGAAGTGACTGCTAACTGGTGGTAAGTGGATTGTTTACAGCAGTGTGGTGGTACACAAATGGTCTTGGTTTAAACATGATAATTCACCTGAAAGCAGACATTCATCAGAGGAAGCTTATGCTTTCAGTGTGGTGGGATTTTTAAAGGTGTTGTGTTTTTGAGCTCCTACCAAAGAACCAGTCAATTTGAGTGTGTACTGTTGGCAGTTGGACAGTCTGAATGAATCCATCATTTAGAAATGTCCAGAGCTTGTTGATTGTAAAGGAGTTGTATTCCATCCTGAGAATGTAAGACCACACTCGAGTTTGATCACCTATCAAAAATTATTGGAGCTCAGGGACCAGCAGGTGGCATAGTGGTTAAGGTGCTGGACTCCCATGTAGTTGATCATGGTTTGAATCCCAGACCCAGTGGTTTGAAACTCAGGCCCGATGCATGTGTGCTCAAAATCCCAAGAGGAGAATGAGGGAGAAAGGATTGTGGTGTGGCCAACTGCCCTGGGGGTGATTTCTTGCTTTCTCTTTTTCTCTCTCTCTCTGGCAAGTGCACACAAAAACTATCTTAAAAAAAAAAATTGGAGCTTGGATGGGATGTGTTGCCATATCCACTATACTCATTTGGCCTTGCACTGTCAGACTTCCCTCTCGCTCTCTTCAAAACTTCCTGTGTGATATAACATTCAATTTAGATGAGGCTATAAATCAGCACCTTTTTCAGTTTTTTACCAATAAAGACAGGTCCTTCTATGAATGAGGAATTATGAAGCTCACTGAAAGATGACAAAGGTTTTTGGACAAAATCGATAATATTTCATTGATCTTTGTTCTTTATATAAAGGACCTTTGAAAACATAGAAAAAATACATCATGACTTTCCTGAAAACCCAATATTTGATTGGAAAGTAAAGAAGGAGCTTTCAGTGATCTGAGATCATTGCGTAATGTTCAGAGCCAAGGTGTCACTATTGTAGAGAAGAGAGGACAGTCACTTCCTACCTCTTTGTTAAGGTAACTTTTTCTTTTTCTTTTTGGAGAGGTTTTGCTATAGGGATGTGTGCTTGCCAGAAAGACAGAGAGAGACAGAAAGTAAGAAATCACCCCCCCAGGGGAGATGGCCATGCCACAATCCCCTCTCCTCCATTCTCCTCTCGGGATCTTGGGCATGCATGCACACATACCTGGCGTGAGTTTAAGCCACTGGGTCTGGGACATGAACCACGGCTGACTACGTGGGAGTCCAGTAACATAACCATTACACCAACTGCTGGTCCCAGGGTAACTTTTCTAATAAATAGGAAAGCAACCTTTCCCTATCACGAGTGAGTGGGTTTGAGTTAATTTCCACTTCTTCTGCCAAGAAAGTAAATTATATAAAGAAGTAGGGATTTACCATCTTATCACAACTCAAAGAACTCTTAACCCTTTTGCCTATACTTTCAGCAGCTCATACACCAAGGTAAGGTCAACCTCTTTGTTGTAATTAGTGGATAATGGGATCTAAAGTGTTTTTTTTTTTTTTTTTTTGCCATAGGATGTGTAAGCTCACTGGAGAGAAATAGAAAAAGTGAGAAAACACCTGCCAGGGGGAATGACCACACTGCAGTCCCTACTTCTCCATTCTCCCCTTGGGCATATACACCCAGGATCTTGGGTGTGTACACACATGTGCCTGTTATGTTTTTTAAACCACTGGGTCTAGAATTGAACCATACATTTGGTCATGTGGGATCCTGTCACCTTAACCACTATGCCACCTCACTGACCTTAAAAGATTATTCCTTTTAGCAAATTTCTACTGCTTTGGTCCTAGGAAATGGGATCTAGTTTTCAACCCAGCTGGTTGCACATAAAAAATACTACTAATTCCACAGTTCCGTTTCCAGCTGAACTGAGGCTGTAGTCTGTTCTTCACAGTAGTAGCTGGTGAAGAGAAATTTTTCAAAAGGGAATCGTTTGACATAGCTTTCACTTGAGTAGTGGTTTGGGAACATGACAGAATGGCCCTATCCAAGAAACACTACTCACTATTTCTGGTTACCATATGTGCTTCTGTATTTCAGTAAGGTGTGGGTTTAACTTCAGTAGGTTGTAGTTCTCAGAGTACTGCTGTGAACTTTAATTCTTTGAGCTCTGTACTTTCTGCTTCACCAAATCATTTTTCTCATTATCAGTTTTGTGCATCTTTTTGGTAGCTACTACTTTTTAAAAAAATTCTCCCAGAGGGTGTATGTGCTTGTCAGAGACAAGAGGGAGAAGGAGAAAGCTCCTCCTCAGAGAGAGACAGTCAGAGAGAGTGTGAGTGTGAGGAAGAGTGAGAAAGCATCTTCCATGGGGAATGGTCCCTCTGCAATCCTGTCTCCTCCATTTCTCCATCCTGTTTGGATTTGCGGCAGTCATGCACATGTGCCCAGTGTTTCTCAGGCTGCCATTCCAAGGCTTGAATTGTGGATTGGCTATATTAATAGACTGATGGAGCCAGCCCAGTGGCTTCTTTTAAGAAAATACAGGTCTGGGGCCAGCATGTGGTGTGGTAGTTAAGGTACTGGACACTCCCACATGGCTGACCATGGTTTGAGTCCCAGACCTGGTGGCTTGCTTTCTTGCTTTCTTTCTCTCTCCCTCTCTCTCTCTCTCTCACATAAAATTAAAATAAATGAATGAATAAATAAAATTAAAGAAATAATTCAAAAAAGAAAATATAGACCTGGGACCAGCAGGTAGTGTCGTGGTTAAGATGTGTGGTAGTTAAGATGCTGGACTCCCACATGGCTGACTGAGGTTTGAGTCCTGGACCTGGTGGCTTGCTTGCTTTCTCTTGTAAACGCATGTGCCTTGTTGCAGGTTGAAAAATAAATAAGTAAATAAGTTAAATAATTATTTTAAAAATAGAGGCCTCTATTGTTCAAAGTTTTTCTAAGTTAAAATAGATAATAGTCCATGAAAATAAGTGATTATGGTGGATGTGTTATTTCTGAAACTAAACCAAGCATATTTCATAACATACTGACTGTCTAGGGGCCAACAGGTGGCGTGGTGTTTGGGGTGCTGGACTCCCATGTGGCCAGTGCAATTTGAGTTTCAGACCTGGTGGCTTTGCTTTCTCACTTTTTCTCTTTCTCTGTTTCTCTCTGGTGAGCATATGTGCCCTATATCAAGCTTAAATAATGAATAAATAAATAATTTTAAAAATATACTTAAAAATATGTCTATAAATAGGTTATGTATTTTAAAATAAGGCTATAAATGTGCATTGCTTATAGGACAAGATGTTACTGAAATAATCTTGTGAAATGTGTCTATCTCTTTCTACATTTTTCCTTTTACTGCCTTTCAGGAAGATGTTAGGTTGGTTTTTACTTCTGGCAGTGTAGGCAGAGTGTTAGCACCTTCTTTCTACATTAGGCATTCTTATCTATCACATTTTTCTAGTGTGATAGTACACATTACTCAAAATAAATGATACAAAAATGTTATAAATTGACCTTATTTTAAGTTTCTTTGTAACTGACAAATAGGAAATAGATCATTGTAATGTTCTATTAGACTTAGTTTTAAGCTAGTATGTTCATTGATTCCAGTCATAAAGGTTTATTAGGTAAAACTATAGAGAACATACTATTATACTAGATTGTGAAGCCTTTTTTAAAAAATGTTATATAAAAAGTCTTTTTTTTTCCCCATAGGAAAATGCATGCTTAGGCATCTATCTCTGTATCTTAGGGATTTTAAGATATGCCTTCATGCTGTGTGATGGAGGCAGAGTTGAAATTGAGTTTTCTGAATTTAGTCTTGTGGACTGGACACCAGTGCAGCCGTAGATCATGGCACTGTGAGGACAACTCACATGGTTTCTGGTTCATGTCCAGAGACCTCCCTGAGTATGCTGTGGGCTGGGGCTGGTTGGAGGTGAATGGTGGTGTCAAGACTGTTGGGGGTGGTGTCTTTCTCACTCTCTTTTTTTTTTTTTTTTATGTTCATGGAAGAAATCAATAAAATTTTTATTTTTTAAAATTTTCATTATTTTGGTTTAGTTTTGTTATAGGGCATGTGTGTGTGCCAGAGAGAGACAGAGAGAAGGAAAGTGAGAAATCACCAGAGGGAAAGAAGAAAGAAAGAGCGAAATCACACCCCTCCCCCCCAGTGGGGATGGCCACGCCATAATTCCTTCTCCAGTCTCCTCCTGGGACTTAGGATATGCATGCACATGTACCCAGTGTGATTGTCTCAGTTGCCAGGTCTGTTACTTGAACTGAGCAGTTGGCCATGTGGGATCCAGCCATCTTAACCTTCACACCATCTGCTAGCCCAGAAATCAATAAAATTTTTTAAAACTTAAAAAAAAAAAATTAAAGTCTAGCCAGGTGGTGTAGTATTTAGTGTACTGAACAGTAGTACTGGGAGTCACATGACTGGTACCTTGGGTTCAGATCCCTGGGTTGGCCTGAAGAAAATATGCTGGATGCCCAAAATCTTGAAGAGCTATAGTGCTGAAAAAAGGGGATTGTGGTGTGACAAGACCTTGCTGAGATTTCTCTCTCTTTCTTGTGTGCACCTGCTCTGTCATTTAAAAAAAGGAAAAATAAAAATTGAGTGTTGAGGACCCAGGTAGAGGAGGGAAGGAAGGATAGATTATAAAATGAGGGGCCAGCAAGTGGAATGATGGTTAAGGTGCTGGACTCTCACCATGACCGACTATGGTTTGAATCTTAGATCTGGTAGCTTATCAATACACCCGGTATGTGATACCCAAAAATCCTGAGAGGAGAATGGAGGAGAAGGGATTGTGGTGTGGCCATACTCCTTGGGGGGGCGTGATTTCTCACTTTCCGTCTCTCTCTCTCTCTCCAGCGAGTGCATGTGTCCTATGGCTAAAGCCTAAAATAAAAAAAATAAAAAAAAAAAGAACATTGGAAAAGATAGGTTAATGTGGCAGGGAAATACAGAGATGGAAGGAGGCTGTTAGAGAGGAAAAATGGCTGTTTTTTTGTCATTTACATTGAGAATATTCTTTTTTTGGTTTGAAGTTAGGTTTATTTATTTTTCTTCCTGTGTTCCCCGATTCACAATACAGAATATACACAGGGCCTAGGCTGAGGTGTATATAAGGAAAGTTTATTCTGCCTCCTGTTTCTCTATGGTCAGTGTTGGAAAATAGCCTGTGGTAAGCACCAGGAGGCCTAGAGTCAGATTTATTGAGATGTACTTCACATTTAGTAGAATTCACCATTTTATTTTTGAAATTGAAATGAATTTTAATATAGAAAACGAGGAAAGTGTTTTGCAAATTTATCACTCAAAGGGTACCTCTGTTTGAGGCATGTTAGACTCCGAGAGATGAAATATTATAGTTTGTACACCAAAATTAAAAAATTAAATTAAAAAATGAAATAGTTACCAGGGTAATGCAGGCCAGGGGATCAAAGGTGAAGGGTCATACATTATTAAAAAGAAATCCAAAAGGACGGCTATATCATGATCTCTCATTAGTGTTCCATCGGTGCCTTTTTTTGGCAGACTTGAACGTTTTTTTTTTCTTTTTTTGGAGAGGTTTTTGCTATAGGGCACATGTGCTCGCCAGAAAGCCAGAGCCAGAGAGTGAGAAATCCCCCCCCAGGGGTGGCCACGCTGCAATCCCTTCTCCTCCATTCTCTTCTTGGGATCTTGGGCACACACGCACATGCACCTGGTGTGAGTTTAAGCCGCCGGGTTCGGGACTTGAACTGTGGTCAACTACATGGGAGTCCAACAACATAGCCATTACACTAACTGCTGGTCCCGCAAACTTGAACATTTTGGCAGACAATTTAGGCAGCTTTTTCGGTAAAAAGATTTTTACATGACTACTATTGCTGTTCCCATGATCATCTTCTGGCTTGTTTTCAGCAGCCATTTCCCCTCAGTGCGCCATATCCTCAAAATTCACCGTTTTCAAGTATACAGGTTTTTTATTTTATTTTTTTAGAGAGGTTTTTGCTATAGGGGGTGTGCGCTTGCCAGAGAGAAGGAAAGCGAGAAATCACTCTCCAGGGCGTGAGTTTGAGCCACTGGGTCCAGGACTTGAACCTTGGTCAACTACATGGGAGTCCACTACATAGCCATTATGCCAGTTGCTGGTCCCATGTTCACCGTTTTTTTTTTTTGTTTGATTGTTTGTTTGTTTGTTTGTTTGAGAGGTTTTTGCTATATATATATTTTTATTTCTCTAGGCAAAATTTCTCATTTGTGGTACTGTTGATATTTTAGATTGGATGATTTTTTTCATGGGGGTTTTCCTGTGCATTGTAGCATGTTTAGCAGTATCTCTGATTTCTATCTGCTAGATACCAGTATCTTCCCCTTCATGTTCTAACAAAAATAGCACATGTTATAGCAGGCAAAAATAATCTCTAACTTAGAATCTCTGCTCTAAGATTTCCTACTGATAATTCAGCCTCCAGCCCACAAAACTTGAGTGGTAGGGAGCTCCTCTAGCCTTCTCTTTATCTTTGTCTCTGTGTCTCTGTCTCTATCCCTTTCTGCTCTGTCTTCTCATTTTTTTTAATAACTTTTCCTTTTTAAAATTTTTGAAGGTATTCTCTCATTTTCAGCCCACCTTTGTCTTGTTAATAATCCCCTTTCCCCCTCCTACCCAGGCAGGAGAGGCAAAAGGCAGGCCTTCAGAAGACGATTCCTAATGGTTCCTGAGAACTAGTGATTTCTATTGTGTGCTTTTTTTTTTTTTAATAATTTTTTTTAGTTTTTTTTTTTTTTTGTTTTTTTTTTTTTTTTTTTTTTTTTTTTTTTTTTTTTTTTTTTTTTTTTTTTGTTTTCTTTTCTTTTTCTTTTATCTCATCTCTCCACTCCCCAATCTCCATTTATTGTGCTTCTAGACAGATCTAAGGGAACTATAGCCAAACATCCATATACTCTTAGGATTTACATATTCCTTAATATCTACTGAATCTGCTGCACAAAGGGATCACAATGGAATGGCAAAGAGATTGTAGATCACCTTTTTCTGCACACTCCTAAACGTTCAGATTGAACTCCAAGAATTAGGAAGAAACACACCATCCATCAGATGACTAGAAATCACTGCAGGACCACAAAAAATATGGGAAAGCAAGAACATACCTCTCCTCCCAGGGAAAAGAATAATTCCTCTTCATCCACAGACAGTTCAATGGAAATCATGGAAATGTCTGATAAAGAATTTAGAATATTCATAATGGCAAAGCTAACTGAGATGAAAGAGAAGAGAGAGAGTGAACTGAAGAAGAGTAAGGAGAAAGGAGCTGACAAGTTCCAGGAGATGAGGAAATTCTTGCAAGATCTAAAAGAGGAATTACATACTTTAAAAAAGAATCAAAGGGACCTGTTAGAGATGAAGGGTATAATACAGGAAGTCAAAATCTCCCTTGAAAGTATTAAAAGCAGATTAGATCATACAGAAAGTAGAATCTCAGACGTAGAAGAGAAAAATTGCTGCACTAGAAAAATCCACCACGAAGACTGAGAAAATGGCTCCCCAAAATGAGAATAATATACGAGAAATAGTAGATACAATCAAACGTCCAAACATCCAGGTAATTGCTATCCCAGAAGGCGAAGAGTCTCATAAAGGCATTGATAATCTCTTCCATGAAATCCTACAAGAAAACTTTCCAAACCTAGAGAGACACTCAAAGATCCAGTCCAAATAAATACAAAGGACCCCAATTAGAATCAACCCAAGAAGATCTTCTCCAAGACACATTATAGCCAGATTGACCAAAACCACAGACAAAGACAAGATACTAAGATTGGCAAGAGAGAAACATCAAGTTACCTACAAAGGTATAACAGC